AGCCAATTATCCATCCATTCCCAAGCACTGTCAAGCCAGAAGGGAAGGAGAGGGCATTCTCTGGGCTCCAAACGAAGACACTATTAGCTGTCTTGAACTGCCAGCTCCCTGAGAACATCCTTAGGACAATTCCAGTAGTAGACAGACAAAAACAGGATTTCATCCTGTTCCCATACGACTCAGATTGTTTTCTGCAAGGCTGCCATGTTTTAACACCTTTTCTTTCGCTACAGCTTGGAGATTACGAGTACTTGGCGTCCATTAAAAATGGTGCTCTTAAATTTTTAGAGATAATCTGAGTGCTTGCGGACGGCAATGGAATGAACGTGTGATGAGGGCTGGATCCAGTGAAATGGATTGGCTGAGATTTTAAGGGCATTTTGATACCCATGCTTGTCATGGAGGGCTTTCCCACCTGTCAGTTTATATGAGATAGTAGACTTTTATTATAATTATAATATTATTGTTGTAGCAGTTGGAGGGGTGGCAACTCCCAGTTATTTTATACTTTCCTGACACCAACTCTGGTGTGGCATGAGTGTGGTTATCCTCAGTGATTTTCAGAGAGCTCAAAGTCACACAATTACTAGCGGTCAGACCAGCACTTAAACTCAGGTCTTTTGACTCTGGGGTCAGTGTGCTTTCCAATATATTGACACACTTTCTTTAATGTCACCATTCTATGGGAGGCAGACATGGTCTAAGCGGGTCTGGAGTCAGAGGACCTGGGTTCAAATCCCACGTTGGAGGGGCAGCTAGGTGGCGCAGTGGATAGAGCACCGGCCCTGAAGTCAGGAGGACCTGAGTTCAAATCCGGCCTCAGACCAAACACTTGACACTTACTAGCTGTGTGACCCTGGGCAAGTCACTTAACCCCAATTGCCTAAAACAAAACAAAACAAAACAAAAGAAACAAACAAAAAAAATCCCACGTTGGGAACTTACTAACTCTGTAACCTTGGGCCAAGAACTCGATCTCTCTGGGTCCCAGTTTTGCCATCTATAGAGTGAGCAGGTGGGAGAAGATGACCTTTGAAGCCCCTCTTTGCTCAAGTGCTAACACTTTCAGAGCTGATGTGCCTTCTCCTTCCAGCTGCCTGAGGTTTCTTTGAGACCACCCTTTAAATCACAACTCGCAGCCATCACCGCCACAACACTTCCAGATAACTCCACCTGTCCTTGAACCTGCCTTTCCCCTTAATGAACTTTCTTCATAACTGCCGCACATATTTGGGTTGACTGACATCTCTCTAGCTTGCCTCCCTTTTTAGACTGGGAGGTCTTTGTGGGCAGAAACCACGTCTGTTTTGATTCTGTAGCCAGTACCATGCATTCTGTAGGTCAGATAAAGGAATACTTGACCATCCACCCCACATAAAAAAAGACCAGTGAAGCCAGGACGGAGTGATATCACAGGCTAATCAATAATTCAGCAGGCTGACCAGATGGTGAGACTATTGTCCCCAGTCATTTGTACCCTGATGCAAGAAGAGGACCAGCCTTGGGAAAACTGGTCTATGCTTTGGATAGACCTGACCAATCAGAATGTGGCCTTTCATGGTTCCCTCAGACCTTTCTCGAACAGAAGAGGGGCTGGTGGGAGAGGAACTTGGCTGCCTTCTCTTCATATCATGTTCGTCAGGAGATGGCTCAAACTCTACCAAGGATGCTGTCCAAGTACTAGAATTGGGGGGGAGGTTTTATTTTGGGGGGGCCCTCCTCTACTTGAGGGAAAGTACTCAGCTTTCATTCCAGTTGTAGACTGAGGCTGCTGGACCAGGAATGAGGATGGGGAGGTCTGAGCCTAAAGAAGGATGATCTGGAGGACCCTTCTCCCATAGGAGGAAAACTCAGGAGGGGCCTGCCAGAGCCCCAGTGAGCATGCCTGGATGGAGAAAGGTTTTCTTGCTCCAGGCTTCATGTGCACTTCATAAACAGCTTGGGACGGCAGATTTCAGGCTGGGCTCCTGACGGCTGAATAATTGATGAGCATATGATATCACCTTTGTCTGGGCCCCACGCTGTCAGGCTGCTCCACGAGGGGCAGGGGACCCCAGAAATGAAATCCTCAGAGAAACTAGTCACCAAGAAGTCTGCCTCTATCCCCAAGAGGAAGCAAGGAAGGAAGAAATGAAGATAAAAGGAATCCTGCCTCATGCAACTCCATCCTTGCCCCTCCCTCCCCACCTATGAGGGCCAAAAGACCTTCTACACACCCGGGGCTAAGCTGGGGCTACGTGTTACTACGTGTTACTCTCACAAGCCCTGGTGTGGTTCTGTTTAGGGATGGGATCTGATACAAAGGAACCAATGCAGGCACCTTGGTCTCAGTTTCCTAAATTGTAGCGTGAGTAGATTCCACTAGATGGCCTATGAGATCCCTTGCTGCTCCAGATCTCTTCTCCTGAGTTACTTCCACTTTCTGGGCCTCAGTTTCCTCATCTGTAAAATGAGGGGGTGGGGTTAAGTGCCTTCCGAGGTCCTCTCCAGCTCTAAATCCAGAATCCTAAGGTCTCCACAAATAGATAGGCTTGGGACTGTTTCTCGAGGGTTACTCCCTCCCCAGGCTCTCCACGGCCTCCAGGGCTTGACCCTCTGCTAGACTAAGGAGGCTGAGTTGGGGCAAACCCAAGCCTGGTCCCCGGGCAACTTGTGCGCTGTATCTATTCCACAAACCCTGGACATGAAGCCTCTGCTGAAAAGCCAGGCCAGCCTCCCTGCGCAGGGTTGGACGCATCCCTGTCTCTGTGCCTCTGCCTGTTCTGCTGCCCTAGCCAACGAGGCCCCCCTGCCGCCACTTCTCCTCACATTCCAGGATTGCTCCTGCCTGCCCTTGAGTTCCCATCACACACGTTGTGTCTATGCTTGTGTTTTTATTTAGAATTTAGATATAGATGCCACATCCAGGGCAGGGACTCTGTTCTCTGCTTCCTCATCTTCCCTTCACGGCAGGTATTAAATTAATAGCAATTAATAAAGGGACTGGGGGTGTGTGTGTGTTGCAAGGAGCAGAGTGGCTCCCCCTCCCCATCTGTTGGCCAGACACTTGCCAGCCATTTGTCTGGAGATGGGATCGAGGGGCTATAAAGGCAGCAGGTGTTGGGTGCCCGACGTTTGCCCCCATCCCCAGGGAAAGGGGAACCTGCTGCCCGGCAGTGTCTCAGGGTCCTGTTTTCTGAGGCTAAGCATGTTCTAATCATCCTCCAAGGGCTGGGGGCCTTCTTTCCTGTTGGCCACTGGGGGATTGAGGTGTGAACAGCCACCCCTACCCTGCCCTGTCTGGCCAGGGCACCTCACCTGCCCACTCGGTCACACAGATGACAGCTAGCTGAGGGCCCACAGAGCCCCCCCCGCCCCCCCACCAGATTTTTTATTTGCCACACTGTCCTCACCCCCTCCCCTTTCTAGCACCACCCCTTTCCTAGTCCTGCAGGTGTCCCAGGGGGATAGAGATCATCCGCCCCTTTGTACAAGGGGCCCAGTCCCACCCCCTACTCTGCAGTTTTCTAAAGCAGGGAGGGGGAGGGCAAAGGAACCCAAAGAGCAGTGGGCTGAGCCCATGGTAACTCGAGCCGACAGAAATTTGCCTGGACCATTCCCTGGTGATCACTGCCCAACCCTGCCCTGGAATACTGACCTTCTTAGGAACCTGGATTTAATCCTGGACAAAAATATCTGAGATAGCAATACTTCCTTAAAAGCACCCCGCCCCCGGTATTGGGCCCCAGTGAATATAAACAATCCTGTGGCATCTCTGTAGTCCAACAAAAAGGCTGAGCAATCTGACCAGGCTGTGTCCTCACCAGTCCATGATCCAGGCTGGTCACTGGACTGCAGAGACCCCGCCCCCCCCCGCCCCCACCTAGTTCCACCCCACCTGGAGGGGATCAGTCAACCAACAGGCATCAATAAGTGCCCAGCATGTGACGAGTGCCACGGGTACAAAAGCAAAAGAGACGGTCTCTTTTCTCAAGAAGCTTCCGTTCTATCCAGGGTGCCATAAGGGGAGAGAGTCAGGACCCCTGGCTGAATGTTGTACCAACACTGGGGCTGCCCCATAGACCCGGAGGGGAACTGCCGGCTGGTCTCGGTGCTCAGTTCCACATATGGCAATCGGCTTTCTGCTGGGTAGGGGGTGGGCTGCCCAGAACTTCCGAAAGGACCAGAATCAATTAACGAATGTACGGAACACCTGCTATGTGCTCAGAGCTGTTCTGAGGAAGGCAGGGTGACAAATACCTGGTCCCTGTCCCTGAGGGGGAAGTGTACCCCTTTACGGGCGTGATCTGAATTCCTGCAGGGGTTGGAAGTGGAAAAAGAAAAGGGACCTTACAGTCTTCCAGGCTGTTCCAGGCAGGTTGGATAAATGCCCCCATACCTAGTTCTATTAGCGATGTACATCCTCCCTCCTTGTCCCCTCGGTCTGCCCCCATCAGTCTAATCTGCCTCTCCTTCCCCCTGCCCCCCACCTCTAGCTAGCCTTGGTCTTTCCAGGTTTAGAGTTTATAGCCTTCCCTATTCTATGGCTTCACTAAAGGGGGCCATCTCTACCTTGCTGTGCTCTCTGCCCATATACCTGAAGCAGGTATGCTGGGCCCAGGGAGAGATGCCCTGCACCCCAACTCTTCCAAACCTGTTGGGTTTTACGGACAGTTACGGGACAGTCAGATGGCTTGGCTGGGAATCTCCATTTCTCTGGGGTGACCTCCGGAGGCAGCCCCTACGGTGGCAGAGACGGTGGATGGGAGGTGGCCATCGGGGCATCCCTTTCCTCAGTATCCGGAGAGATTCTCCTCAGTGGACTGGAAAGCGGCTGGGAGAGCCCCCTTCCTCCTCACCTTCTCTCTGCCTCCCTGGTTCCTCTCTCTCTTCCCTCCCACATGCTGGGAGCTGGGGATCAACAATAAAGAAACTTTCACCGATCACTGGAGGTGGCTCCAGAATGGGGGGCTGGGAAGCGAAGGAGGGGTCCCTGGCTAGAACCCCCGCAGCTCACTTACCATCTTGCTCACATCCATGACCGAGTCTGGAGTTGGGAGGAGGACCAGATTCCGGCTCCCCCAGTGCTGCTACTCCTGGTTAATTGGGTGCTGGTAGTGCCATGTTAGCGGGCACAAGGGCAGGGAGAGCCTGCCGCGGAGCGCGGGGCTCCCATGGAGCTGGGCAGAGCAGCAGGACCCAGGCTGGACTGGCAGAGAGGAAGCAGGGGAGGGCGAGGGGGGGTGGAGGGAGGGGGAGAGATTACAAAGCTGGGAGCTGCAGCAGCACACAGAAAGGGGGGGCGGCAGGATGGGGAGGAGGGGGCCTGCGGCAGCTCCGGAAAGCAATCCCCCCCCACGCCTGCCCTCCACCTGAGAGAGGAAATCTAGAAATCAGCTGGTGCGAGAGGCCACGAGCCACGGGAAGGGAGAGGGACGAATGAATCGGCAGATCCCAATGGCTGCAGCAGGCTGGTGCACCCAAGCCAGCAGCGGCAGCAGAGCCCCAAGTGTGTGATTTGAATAACAAAAGGTCTCTTCTCCCCGAGGATGGGGCAGCTATTGAGAGATGAACCAGTGCGGGAGAGCCCAGCCCAGGCAGCCAGAGCCTGTGTGTGTGAGAGTGAGAGTGAGTGAGAGAGAGAGAGAGAGAGAGAGAGAGAGAGAGAG